GGCGTCACCGTGCTGGCACGCCGCGGGACGGTGACTGATGCACGTGCTATGCCACCTCCCCTCCGGCCCCGGCCACCCCGAAACCTTTGCCAGCCTGCCCAGCAAGAAGCAATGCTGCGGGGTCCCCAAGCCGAGAGGGGACAACCCCTGTCCCCACAGCCCCAGGCGTGGATTCCGGTCACCCCACCACCACATCGGGTCCTCCTGGCCAGCCCACAGGCTCAGCTGAAACCCAAACAGCGAGGTCCCCTGCAAGGATGGCATCGCACCGTGCCACCCCTGACCCACCCGGCTGCAATCCACACCCTGGGGATGGCTCCCACCACAACGACAGACACCAGACAGGGCATGCTGTGCCCTGACCCCAGCTAGGTGACAGTGACACTGACCACAGGGTGTCCCTCCCCTCCGTGGGGACACCAGACCACCCCAGCGCTCTGGGACACCTTGCTTGGCCCTGCACCCCTTCCAGCATCCCTGGGGACCGGGGCAGCAGCATCCCCGCTGCCCTACGCCCACCACCCCGCGCAGACGACCCTGGGAAGTGGCGGGTCCCCAAAACGAGCTCCCGGAGGGGGCTGGAGTCCCCCACTCACCTCTGGCACATCGTCCCGCTCGCTGTCACAGCCCGCCTGCCACCTTCCTGGTGGCCGTGTCACCTGGAAGTGACCTCACCAGCCCCCCGAGCCAGCTCGCTGAGCCCCGGCGGGGCCCCGGGGGCGGCCGTAAATCGTGGTGACACACGCCTTGGCCCAGCCGCCATGGCACAGTTTGGTATGGTAGGACATCCCCATGAGCAAGGTTACTACACCATGCAGTGTGTATCTCCCAATGTTGTAGTCTATCTAGGGAACAGTGATGCAGAAATGGGATGGCTGGCAGTGATAGCCCTCCTGAGCTCAGTACTACCGCACAATGCTTTGAAAGGGAAGTTTGTACATGATCTTCCTCTTCTCCAGGGGTCAAAAAAGAAGGCTACAATCTGAATTGATGTTCCTGCCTCTTTTAATTAAACCCATTTGGTTAGCTGCAATTGGGATCCTTTGAATTATGCAGCATTTCACTGAAGACTGCTTGGATTCAAAAAATTTCCCAAAGCTTCAAAATTTCATATGACGAGAACTTCTTCAGTGGCTGATAGGGTTGTTTACTGAGATTGGAACCACCTAACTTCTCTGCTCCTCCAAGCTTCCCTTTTTTCCCTTTCCTCTCCCTCCTCCATTTCCCAACTTTCCCTGCCCTTTTTTGGCATCTTTTGGTCTCAGACTCTACCTACGGCTCCCATGCCACCCAATGTTTTTCAGCAGAGCTGAGGGGAAGGGCACTTCTTGATGCACGGCAGATGTGGGCTGTTAGTGCCGCTTTCACATGGAACCCAAATTGTTTGAAAAGGTTTAACCCTGTGACTAAATTCTCAAACCTGCAAACTGTAAGCAAAGCCCATGCTCCCATCTAGGCTGAAAAGGGCAAGTTAATGAAAGAACCCCCTACCCTAGCAATTCACAGGATGGATGAAAAGAAACCTAACCCCCCCACATTCTCAATGCTAATTAAGCAATAATGATCAAGGCACAGAGTATTTCCTGGGGATTAATAACTAACTGGGAGGAGATGATGACCCCAAACAGTCATTAATCCTCAGGAAATGCCCTGCATCAAAGTTGTTATTGCTAGTTCAGACTAAATATGTGAGAAACGGCACGGGTGGGTTTTACCCCCAGGTCCCACCGGGGAAGGGGGGCACTGGCACAAGACCCAGGTCCCATACCCCCATCCCCACACCACCGCCGGACATGCCCTCGCAGTGGGCTGCAGCTGATATGAAACGAGTTTGCCAGGTCTCAGGCCAGATGGGCACAAAGCCAGGTCCGTGCTATGGCATCTCCCCTGCGCACTGGGTGCCGGCAGCATGGGAGGCGGGACCCCCGGAGCTGGGGACAGGGGATGCTAAACCCCCCACTTCCCCAGCACCAGAGCAGAGCAGCCCCGCGGCCAGACCATCCAGCATCTGCTGCGCTAATTGACAGCAGCCTAACTAGCCAGGCTGCCGCGTGGACAGTGCCCCCCCCCCCCCCGGGGGTCCCCGCCGC